GGGGCGCTCGACGTTTACCTGCGCTGATCGTTACTGGTAAGTTTACCTCTGTGGTGGGTGGGGTATGGGTTGTTAGGTTGGGGTGGGTTTTAAGTGTATGTGACATTGTCGCTAAAATGTTTCAATAAGCACGTGTTGAACTCCTATATCGTAATTGATATTTCGAATTATGATTGACCATTTTTTAGTACCATTACATTTCATTTTAACAATTTGAATGAGATGAAACATTAAACAACAGACTAGGTCTACATTGGTTATCTCCTAGTTCAGTCAAATACACCCTCTTCAATTCTGTAGCACCTCCGAAGATGCTGGACGCTGCCAGCTGGCTGGGCCTTCGAAGACTAACCGCGAGGGACGATAGCACCAACCCGATTGAGCTGTATACCGCCGAGGGGACTTCTTTCAGGGGGAGAAAAGCCAGTCCGGGAGGGAGCCAGGATGGGTCAACGTTTGGGCAAGATATTATCCATGGCGATGATTTTTGGGACTTTTGAAATTTTAAGCAATTATACCAATGAAGATAAATAAAGCGATCCTCCAGGAACTCTAGTGAAAACAATGTTATTTTATCAAAACTGTTTAAAATCCAGTGGTGTACATACAAACGTGTCACTGGTGATTTAAACCTGATTCTCATACTGATTTGGTATTGGATCTGTCGATCAACTACCAGTTTATATTAAGGACGGTATCAACGTCTTAATTAAAATATATGGCATTTACGTACATGTAGTTGTGAAGATTCTTCACATAAACCTATAGTTGATCGACAGTTCTCGCTCGAATCATTTCAAGAAACAAACATTTAGGTGACGCCTGTTGTCCCAGGAATGTTTTCACTACCGTATAACGAGTTATTATTTGAAGTACCGTAACACATATATATGTCCGGCTCGTTTCTAATCACTACCCAAATCTTTACACAAGCTGCATTATTTTTGTCTTGCAGAGAGCTGGTGCAATCGTGGCGCAGCTATGTATCTCCTCTTCATCAACTCAGTGAGGATTTCGATTTTCTGAAAATATTTACAGGAACGATTTATCATTGTTGACATAATAAGAAAGTCGTCTAATAAAAAAAATACAATGCATAACGAAAGTTTGAAAAGAGCAATAGAAAGCAAACAATGATCCTACACACCAGACTCCGAAATGTACGCAATTTAATGGATTCTGTAACGAAATCTAATAGGGACCGTAAAGAAATATAATACGGTCTGTAACGAAATCTAATAGGGACAGTAAAGAAATATAATAGGGACCGTAAAGAAATATAACACGGTCTGTAACGAAATCTAATAGGGTCCGTAAAGAAATTAAACACGGTCTGTAANGCGAAATTCATAAGGTCCGTAAAGAAATATTATACGGTCTGTAACGAAATTTGATAGGGTCCGTAAAGAAATTTGATAGGGTCCGTAAAGAAATTTGATAGGGTCNATCTAATAGGGTCCGTAAAGAAATATAATACGGTCTGTAACGAAATCTAATAGGGACAGTAAAGAAATCTTATAGGGACCGTAAAGAAATATAACACGGTCTGTAACGAAATCTAATAGGGTCCGTAAAGAAATATAATACGGTCTGTAACGAAATCTAATAGGGACCGTAAAGACATCTTAAAGGGTCCGTAAAGAAATATAATACGGTCTGTAACGAAATATAACAGGGTCTGTAACGAAATCTAATAGGGACCGTAAAGAAATCTTATAGGGACCGTAAAGAAATCTTATAGGGTCTGTAACGAAATATAATAGGGTCCGTAAAGACATATCATAGGGTCTGTAACGAAATAAAATAGAGTCTGTAAAGAAATATAATACGGTCTGTAACGAAATATAATAGGGTCTGTAAAGAAATGAAATACGGTCTGTAACGAAATATAATAGGGTCTGTAAAGAAATATAATAGGGTCTGTAACGAAATGTAATAGGAACCGTAAAGAAAAATAATACGGTCTGTAAAGAAATCTTATAGGGACCGTAAAGAAATCTTATAGGGACCGTAAAGAAATATAATAGGGTCTGTAACGAAATCTAATAGGGACCGTAAAGAAATATAATAGGGACCGTAAAAAAATATAATACGGTCTGTAACGAAATATAACAGGGTCTGTAACGAAATCTAATAGGGTCTGTAACGAAATATAATAGGGTCTGTAACGAAATCTAATAGGGACCGTAAAGAAATATAATAGGGTCTGTAACGAAATATAATAGGGTCCGTAAAGAAATACAATAGGGACCGTAAAGAAATATTATAGGGTCCGTAAAGAAATATAATAGGGACCGTAAAGAAATATAATACGGTCTGTAACGAAATATAATAGGGTCTGTAACGAAATCTTATAGGGTCCGTAAAGAAATAAAATAGGGTCCGTAAAGAAATATAATAGGGTCCGTAAAGAAATCTAATAGGGTCCGTAGAGATATCTAATAGGGTCCGTAAAGAAATTTGATAGGGTCTGTAAAGAAATATGATAGGGTCGGAAAAGAAATTTGATAGGGTCTGTAGCGAAATTCATAAGGTCCGTAAAGAAATATTATAGGGTCCGTAAAGAAAGATAATAGGGTCCGTAAAGAAAGATAATAGGGTCCGTAAAGAAATGTGATAGGGTCCGTAAAGAAATATAATAGGGACCGTAAAGAAATATAATAGGAAACGTAAAGAAATATAATAGGGTCTGTAATGAAATATAATAGGGACCGTAACGAAATATAATAGGGTCTGTAACGAAATCTAATAGGGTCCGTAAAGATATCTAATAGGGTCCGTAAAGAAATATAATAGGGTCCGTAAAGAAATATAATAGGGTCCGTAAAGAAATTTGATAGGGTCCGTAAATAAATTTGATAGGGTCGGTAAAGAGATTTGATAGGGTCCGTAAAGAAATTTGATAGGGTCGGTAAAGAAATTTGATAGGGTCTGTGAAGAAATTTGATAGGGTTCGTAAAGAAATATAATACGGTCTGTAACGAAATCTATTAGGGTCCGTAATTAAATTTGATAGGGTCGGTAAAGAAATATAATACGGTCTGTAACGAAACATAATAGGGTTCGTAAAGAAATTTGATAGGGTCGGTAAAGAAATTTGATAGGGCCTGTAACGAAATATAATAGGGTCCGTAAAGAAATTTGATAGGGTCTGTAAAGAAATTTGATAGGGTCTGTAAAGAAATTTGATAGGGTCGGTAAAGAAATTTGATAGGGTCGGTAAAGAAATTTGATAGGGTCCGTAAAGAAATTTGATAGGGTCCGTTAAGAAATTTGATAGAGTCGGTAAAGAAATTTGATAGGGTCGGTAAAGAAATTTGATAGGGTCGGTGAAGAAATTTGATAGGGTCGGTAAAGAAATCTGAAATCCTAGAACTTGTGGTTAAATTGAATAATAATGCTACTGCATCGATGTAGCAGGCAACATTGTGATGTGTCATTTGTGAACAAGTCATTGATATCAATTTAAGCATGAAACCAGTTTTTTCATGAACAATAAAATCGTGAATGCGTAACATCTCCTAATCTGTGTTTGGCTTCCTGTAACATATATAACAATAGGGGACCTAGAGGGCTGTACATGTTAGGACCAACATATTGTTCTCTCCGCTGTCCTAACACATCCATACATCTAGTGAAAATGTGTTACGCATGTAAAGGGGAAAGGTGTTATATCTGTGAGAGGGAAATGTTTGACAACTGTAGGGGGATGTGTAACACCTGTAGGGGGAATGTGTAACACCTGGAGGGGGACATATGTAACACATGTAGGGGGAGGGGGGGGGGGNGAATGTGAAACACATGACGGGGGAAACGTTTAACACCTGTCGGGGGACATATGTAACACCTGAAGGGGTGGGGGGATGTGTAACACCTGTTGGATGGAATATGTAACACATGAAGTGTGTGTGTGTGTGTGTGTGTGTGTGTGTGTGTGTGTGACACATGTAGGGGAAATGTGTAACACCTGAAGGGGGGAATGTGTAACACCTGTAGAGGGAAATGTTTAACACCTGTAGGGGGAATGTGTCACACCTGTAGGGTGAAATGTGTAATACTTGTAAGGGGGAATGTGTAACACCTGTAGGGAAATGTGTAACACCTGTAGGGAAATGTGTAAAACCTGTAGTGGGAAATGTGTACCACCTGTAGGAGAATGTGTAACACCTGTTGTGGGGGAATGTAATACCTGTAAGGGGAATGTGTAACACCTGTAGGGAAATGTGTAACACCTGTAGGGGGGAATGTGTAACACCTGTAGGGAAATGTGTAACACCTGCTGGGGGTAATGTGTAACACCTCTATGGGAATGTGTAACATTTATAGGGGGCATGTGTAACACCTATAGGGGAACGTGTAACACCTATAGGGAAATGTGTAACACATCTAGGGGCATGTGTAACACCTCTAGGGTAACGTGTAACACCTATAGGGGAATGTGTAACACATCTAGGGGGCATGTGTAACACCTATAGGGGACATGTGTAACACCTCTAGGGGAATGTGTAACACCTGTAGGGGACATGTGTAACACCTCTAGGGGAATGTGTAACACCTGTAGGGGACATGTGTAACACCTCTAGGGGAATGTGTAACACCTGTAGGGGACATGTGTAACACCTCTAGGGGAATGTGTAACACCTGTAGGGGACATGTGTAACACCTCTAGGGGAATGTGTAACACCTGTAGGGGACATGTGTAACACCTCTAGGGGAATGTGTAACACCTGTAGGGGACATGTGTAACACCTCTAGGGGAATGTGTAACACCTGTAGGGGACATGTGTAACACCTCTAGGGGAATGTGTAACACCTGTAGGGGACATGTGTAACACCTCTAGGGGAATGTGTAACACCTGTAGGGGACATGTGTAACACCTCTAGGGGAATGTGTAACACCTGTAGGGGACATGTGTAACACCTCTAGGGGAATGTGTAACACCTGTAGGGGACATGTGTAACACCTCTAGGGGAATGTGTAACACCTGTAGGGGACATGTGTAACACCTCTAGGGGAATGTGTAACACCTGTAGGGGACATGTGTAACATCTACAGGGAGGAATGTGAACCTAGGTGAAATGTGTTACACTGTAGGGGGCAATATGTTACATTATAGGGTTGAATATGTCAAAACTGTAGGAATGCCCAACACTCTATGGATGCTCTAGTTTTGATATCTGCGACTAGGCTGTTAAGATTATCACTGTTAACTTCGAAGATCAATTCAATGTATAGAAACGGTAACTGTACCGTCCGGAAAGCGTTTTTTCTGTTCAGATTTTATGAAAGCGAGAGAAAAATTTGATATGGTTGACACTGCATTGCACTATAATTAAAATTGAACAGGGTATGTACACCAGTCACGTACGTGTCAACAGGTAAACTTGAATATGTCACGTGTATGAAATGGATTAGGATTATCTTTAAGTATTTCATGTCGATTTTAGTTTTTAGCTTAAAAATGCAATGGTGTTGAACACCATACAATATCTCTATGTGGACGTTCATCGAATCTTTAAAAAGTATCGATATTTACCTATAACACCTGT